TGGCAAAGGGATACCAGCACACAGTATCATCGCTTGCCTTCTTTATAACTGGCTGTTACAGCTGCATAAAAGTTAAAAGTGCTGCACAGAAAATGGAAAAGTAGGAAACAACCAAACAAGAATCCAGAGGGTCAGTTATGACTCAGAAAAGGGCAAAAGAAAGAAAACTGAGAAGAAGCTGTCAGCAAAGTAAACATTCTGCATAAACTCCCCAGCAACTAAATCTGAAAAGGCAAGTCCAGATATTTGGATCCAAATATATTCTTCATTCCGAGTAGTACAAAAAATATAAATGCTAACGCACTGTCGTGCTCATTAACATCCAGGCTGCCACAAATCAACAGATGAGTACAAGCCATTTATTTGTTACCATCGAAACACAAATGGACCCATTTTGAAAAAAAATATTTATCTAGAGCAACATAAATTGTGGACTACAGAATTAGCAAGCCAAGCTATACTGAAGAGTTATGCATGTTAGAAACTGCGTTACAGCAGCCTTTCAGAATACAAACAGGGACTTTATGTTTAGCAGAGAATTTCAGGTACTGTTGCCTACATCACCCATAAGGCATTCAAATCTGCCTGGATTTAACCCCATTCTGAAAACTGACCCAACAACAGAATTAAGCAGTCCAGTAATGGACTGGCAGCAAGAGTACATTACCAGCAGGTCATTCTTAGGTCCCATTTTAACATTCCCATTAGCAATTTGAAAGAGGATGGGAGTGGCAAAGGCAAAGAAGCCAGATGACATTTGCAGAGGACACCAAACTGGGTGGAGCAGCAAACAAGGACAAATATAGAAAAAACACATTGCGTTTTTATATAAAGATCTAAGAACATTTCATACAGAGGAGAAAAATGGAGCAGCACCGAGCACTCTTCTGAACATATTTATAGGGACTCTACGTTTGTACAGCTGATCTTCCTGGGGACCAGCCTGCAACCAGAGAGCAGCTATTCTTGAGTCGGTCTCTTACAACAGAATGATACTGGAAAAGTGTGTATTGGGAAAAACCTTGCGTAACCATCTAAAACATCTCCTGAAGATGAACTGCTGTTTTAGTGCAGGAACTGTGTTGCCAAAAAAATTGCAGTGGAAAGCACGGTACTGACATGATGGGAAATAACCTCAAAAAACTCAATGAGCGCTACAGAAATTTACCCGTTGTCTGGAGGAATACCGTAGGTGAAACCAAACCCCTTTCTACAGCTAGTGAATCAACGGGGCACGCTCCCTCACAAGAGAGGAGGCAATCAAGTGACACCCTACGAGAGATGCAGATGAATGCATTTTATGCAAATACTACTTCCCCAAGCAAGTGTTCTGCAACACACGACGAAAAACAGAA